CTCCCCACTGCCCCCAGCAAGCCAGGCCTCCCTGCCTTCCTTCAGCATTTCCACCTCTGCTGGGTTTTGTTGTTGTACGGGGGTTTTTAATCTCTGCTTCTCTGGCTTTGAGTCTAGGATCCTCCAGAATCAAAGAGACGTTAATTATGAAAGTGGGTCAAATTTAGTATAAGTTAACACTTGATCATGAGGTTAACTTATTATTTTTTAAAAGTAATTCGACTTCCTGTCAGCATTTGCCTCTGGAATTGTGGCAGACGTCTGTGTTCCACATCACTCATTTCTGCATTACTTGAGCTTTTTTTTTTTAAATGAGCTTGAACTATTTTTATTTTCAGAAAAAAAAAACAACTGTCAGATGGTATGTGAAAATCATGAATATGCTTTTATTAAAATTATCTCATGGGCTTTTTTTTAATTAGCAACAACTGGGAAGTTTTTCAGTGTCTCTTCAAATTATAAGTCGAATGGTTACCCATTTTGCTCCAAAATACTATCTCTTAGTGCCAACTTTTAAACCCTAGATCCTCCAAATAGCAGGGCATTTTGTGCACCGATACCAAGAACAAATGTTCTAAACACAGACTCAAAGTTGTAATGGAGCAGAGAAGGTAGTTGTGGATGAGGATGCCAAACAGAATTATAAACATATTTTAAAAAGCACACCTGTAATTATTAAAAAACAATTTTAGTAGCTATATAAAATCCAAATAAAGAAATTATAAGTTTTAGATGACCATTTTTTAAAAAGGTTAAAAAAAGAAAAAAAAAAAACAAAAAAAAAAAACATTCCCAGAGCACTGACTAGCTGGCTCAGTCAGTGGAGTGTGCAGCTCTTGATCTCAGGGTCATGAGTTCGAATCCCACGTTGGGCATGGAGCTTACTTAAAATAAGATGAAAATAAAAAAATAAAAACATTCCCCTTTTCTTGAGGGAAGGAAATGCTCTTATAAACCTTTTTGTTTTACTAAGAACACATGTTCACAGTAAAGAAATTCACGTGCCACGTAAAGCACAACTAAGAATCCCCTATATACCCCGTGGTTTCTGGTGTTTCCTACAAGATAATGATTCTCCCCCTCCCCCCAACGGAAAGGGCTTGGCTGGTAAGGGACCAAGGGGCCTTTTGGGGCCCTATGTACACAGGTACATTTATGCCGTGACCATTTATCAAGCAGTGTGCTTTTCTGCAGACACTCATCAACGAAGGTGTTAAAAATGGGAGGCCAGAGGAGAAACCAAGCACTGTAATGTGAAACTAAGAATAGAACCGGCAGGGGCTCTCTGACCAGCAAGCCCTGCCGAAGAGTTCAGGTCAGGAGTGGCTCCAAAAAGAAACAAGTCTGAAAGAAGTATCCAACAGCCCTCCCATGAACACAACAGAAAAGATGTAAATACTGCTGCATTAACATTTTCCAGTTAAGAATTCTTTCCAGTACCTAAAGGACAATTACCCACAGGCTATTTTATATAATGAAACTGCTTTCTTTTTGGTTATTTTCAAGATGGGCTCAAATTCCAATATGTTGCTGCCCAAATAGATCATGTTTCAGGAATTCAGGAAATAAAAAAGAGGGACAGGATTTGATTTTTAACAACAGTAACTATTCGACAAGAAATAGAACCGGTAGAATTTCTTTCTGTAACGTGGTTTGTTGCAGATGACAAAATACTTTTCTCTGGTCTTCCTGTGGAAGCAGAGGGAACAAAGACTTCCTCAGACCGTTGTACTGTGTCCCCTTCCACAACCACCTCCTCTGCTTCTCTACAACTGTGAATCTGTGTTTACAAGGTTTATTTCTCGTATCAGTACACAAAATGCCACACTATTCTGAGGCCACGGGGTTAAAAGCTGTCACTAAGAGTCCATTTTGGGGCAAAATGGGTAATCATTCTTACAAGTTGAAGAGACATTTAAAAGTCTCTGCGCTGTCACATTCACAGGTGGCTTTCCCCGCCCCCCCAGCCACATGGGCCCTGCCGGAGCTGGAAGGCAGTCAGTCTCAGGTGAAGACATGAGGAATTCTGAGATGCTGACAGGATGCAACAACCAGGGACTGGCCCCCACTCACTGTTACTCCTTCTCTACCTGACCATCTATCTCAGCTCAGTGCTGTGGCCACCTCGGGTGACTGTGCATGCTGGCCAGCCTTTTCAGCATGCAGGCTCCACCGGGCACCGGTTCGATGGTTGACTTGGACCCCAAACCACTTCATGCAGAAAGCCCTGCCTCCGTGTTCACACTTCCTTCCTATCATTCCACAAGCACTGAGCAGACACCTTAAGGTTCATACCAGAATGCTAACTACCGTATGCTCGCTGGGGTTCCCAATGCATGGGTCTCTTTTTAATCAGCAGTGTGAGATAGCTGGGCTTCAGCTAATCCTGAACTGGCCTGCCAGTCAGCCCCCATCAAAAGTCACGCTAATAAAGGATGAGATTTAGGGAAGGAGGCCCGATCCTGGCATTATCAAAGACACTTATAGACATTTGCTGGGGGGGGGGGGGGGAAATCAGCATTTAAGCTTAGCCAGAAAGAAGTCCAGCATCACTTTGCAGATTGAAAGCAACGTGCACGGACGTAAGCAAGACCAGCTTTGACACAGAGTCGATCGCCCAAGCTCACTTTCTGGAAACAAGGGATGGACATCGAAAAATCACGAGGGCTTTATGGATTCCTTCTAGAAACAGATGTCGAGGGAAGATAGTGGAGGTAAAACGTAAACATGGAGCCACCACTTCAGAGAAGACACTGCCTCGGAGGCAGCCAGCTTTCTATCCAGGTAGGAGAACTGTCACCAAGAGCCGAGACCTCTGGGCTATCTCAGCACTGCAAAGGCACGTGCCACCCTAAATGCAGAGCTCTGAGGACTCTGAGCTGTGTCACCAGCAGCGGCTGCACCGTCAGCGTTCTGGGTCCCTCTAAACACACCTCAGGGTGCCAGAAACCAAAATGCTGTTAATGGTACACTGAGGCTCAGGCAGTCTCAGGGCCGAGTCCCCAGGGAGCAGTGAGAGCATCACCTCGTAGGTATCTTTTATCTCTCAAATCTCCTAGCATCCAGGAATTTTTTTTACATCCCAGCCGAAGGCATGCTGTCGCTAAGTAACTTCAGGTCAGATCTGAAGTCTGCGAGTGGGTCTGGTTGATGTAAACAGGTGACAAAGTCACCGCAACTTATAACCAGAAGAGGTAAAAGCTACAAACAGACCTTTTAAAAACACGTCAGTACTTTTTAGCAGTGCCTGGGTGGCTCAGTCAGTTGAACATCCGACCTTTGATTTCGGCTCAGGTCAGGATCCCAGGGTTGTGGGATCAGGCTCTGTGTCAGGCTCCGTACTGAGTGTGAAGCCTGCTTGGGATTTTCTCTCTGTCTCTCTGTCCCTCTGTCCTTCTGCCCCTCTCCCTGCTCATGTGCTCTCTCTCAAAAATAAATAAACTTAAAACAAAACGTGTCTACACTTTTTATTCTGGCCTGTTAACACTACACCACGCCTAGACTTAGTTTTGTACAAGTTTTAACAGTTTACATAGAATCCCAGGGTGTCTGCAAGCTCAGGGGGATGGAGTTGTAGCAAACTATGGCCCGACGAGGAGGCCGCTCAGGCACGCTGCATTTTCAAGGGCCGATCTGCACACTGATTCTAAACAAAATCCCTAAACAAGGTGAGTGAAGACCTATGTGCACTGCCAGGACTGATCTGTCTGGAAAGATGACCCTTGAGTTTCGCCACCTGTGAATTTCGTCTAGTGTGTAATCCCTTCTCTTCTAAACTTAAAGCAATTCAGAGACTTTCATGAGAGAATATGTTTTTGCTCTAGCCCCTTTTAGTTCAATGTTGCTCAGAACTCCCCTTCTTCACGCCTCACGGGGCAAACAAATAACTTCTCACACTTATCTCTACATCACAAGATGCCACAGGGATTGTGGTATTTCTGTAGATGACCCGGAGTCACAGAACTTTCCGGGATCAGTTAATCATTAACTAGAAGTTTTCTGCCTTTGGCCCTCTGGTGAGACTTCTGCAACCAGCAATGTTCTCTCCAGTTCTGAGGCTCCAATTAACCACCACCTGGGGACACAGGGAGCTACTGTGTGGGGCTGCTATCCTTCCATCAGGACCACTGACTAACAAAATCTTATGGCTCAGGACTTGGCAATATTTAACAGATCGATGAAGCCGCCAATGCCCACGTTTATTGCAGAGTAACTCCGGGTCCTGGGCTCTGTCACCCGCGGGGCACACAGATACGTGTGTGCTGTCAGTGGTCCAGAGAAGGCTCACAGCCTCCCTCACAATTTTCCCACCGGGCCACATCACAGGGGCTACAGACCCCCACCCTTCCTTGAGAAGTGCCCGATCTGGCGGAGAAGGTCGGAGCTGTCCTACGATCTGCGTGCCGGTCTGTAAACTACCAGAAACGAAAGAAATTGATTTGTCTTAAAAACAAAAGGTACAGCTGAGGACGAAAGAGTCGGGAGATGAGGAAGACAGAGCCCCAGGCTTTCAAGAGTTCACAGGAGGGCAAACAAGTCAGCAAAAAACTACAATCCGTGCAACAAGTACCAAAGCGAAGGTAGGGCAGGCCAGGCGGCGGCAAACTGCCGAAATGTGAAAAGGCCAGGCCCTTCACCAGGAGGGAGACCCGGCGGGTCTGCCCTCTGGTCCCAAATTTCCCCCACGAACTCGTCCAGGGCCCTGGCCCGGAGGCGCCCCGGGAAGGGATGCTGGGGGCACGCGGGGAAGCGCGCCGGGCACTCTACAGGCCCTCTTTACCCCGGGCCGGCGCGAGCCCCGCGGGCCCCTCGGCACCCCGCGGACACGCCTGGGCACCCAGCGGTGTGGGCCGCGCGCGCCCCGGCCGTCCCACGCCCCGCCACAGCCGGCTCCCCAACTCCCCCGCCCGCCCGGTGCGCGCTGCCCCTTCCCCCCTCACGACCCCAGCCCCCGGCCGGGCCCAGCGCTCCCACCGCAGACCCGAGCCGGGGGACCTCACCTCTGGCAGGAGCCGGCGGCAGCGGACGCCGTCGTGGGGCTCAGCGCATCCTGGGGTCACAGGCAGCCGAAAAGTGAGGCCGCGCGAAGCCCGCAACGAGTTATGTAACCGGCAGGGGCCGCAAGCCCGGACGGAGGCGGCGGCCCGCGGCACTTCCGCCTCCCGCGCCCGGCCGGCGACGCAGGCCGGAAGCCCATTGGTCACCGGCCCCCACGTGGGGGCGCCTCCGCCCGACGCCGCAGCTGCCCGAAGCCGCCGCCGCCATCTTAGGAGCTGGCAGCCTTCCCGTGAGGCCCGGCGGCCGGCGCAGGCGCAGACGAGCCGGATTCCGACCGGGGCGCCTGAGTTGGCTGGAATGGGGCAACGCGGGTGGGAGCCCACCGGCTCGGACCTTTTAGGGCCGACTGAACACCCCGCGCGCACATACCCGGGCTCCGGAGACCAGGATTGCCCTCTGCCCTGCAGTCCTGGGCTAACGCTCCCCTCGGCTGGGCTTGGGGCTCGGGCTTTTCCGCGTCGAGCCGGGGGAAGCGTGGGTGACGACCCGGCCGGCGGGCAGCAGCTTCCTGCCGGGCGACACGGCCTGCAGCCAGTCCGTCTCTTCACAAAGGTTGTTGTTGAGAACTGTCGCCGTGCCAATGGGCAGGGGTCGGTCGCACACAAGGGACCGGAGGCTCTGTATCACAAGATCGAACTCAAGTTCTATTCCTAGGGAACCCGTGCCGAGCAAAATCTTACAGTAATTTTAAGTCAGGTATTTATTCTTTGCCTTCAAGTAAAAATGGTCCACATAGCCAAAGGATGAAATAAGAAGGATGTGCTTAAAGCCAAAGGCTAAAATGATTCACCCTAAAAGAATTTAATTTATATCCAAATGAATAAACGTTATGACAGATTAAAAGTCTAAATAAAAGTAACACTATCTTAGAAAAAAGTTAAAAGCATATTCTTTTAACATTTTGAAAAGCAAAAGGTATCTAAAGTTTTAAACGTAATTGGTATAAATAGATCAAGAGTAGTAGAACAATGCAATGTAAAACAACAAGGAATAATCCGTTGTTGACATAATATGCGTAGTGTCTGGTAGAATCTTGACTTATGTAAAGCAACCTTATATTTCCTTTTTTTAACGTTTATTTATTTTTGAGACAAAGCGCGAGCAGGGGAAAGGCAGAGAGAGAGAGACACAGAATCTGAGGCTCCAGGCTCTGGAGCCTCTCAGATGCTCCAGGCTCTGAGCTGACAGCACAGAGCCTGAGGCCGGGCTCAAACTCACAAGCCACGAGATCATGAGATCACGACCCGTGCCAAAGTTGGATGCTTAACCCAGGCGCCCCTAAAAACACTCTCTAAACACAAATGAGAAAGTAACTATTTTCCTAAGGCTTACTATTTGCCAAACACTGTGCTAAGCTTCTAACACAGGATCTTTTTTATTCTCGGGACAAGGATACCACCTATTGCTACAAGGGTTATGCAAGGTAGTTGTCCTCTGAACAAAAACATTCCACCCTCCAGTTGGTCCCTAATTGGTTTAATGATTTAAGCTCGGCCCCTTCTCTCCTGGCTCAGTGATTTGGGTAGTGTGGTTATCTGTCTCCTCTAGTTCTGTTTCACCAGGAGCGGTTATCTGTCTGAGAATCCAGTCTGTTCTCCCTTGGGCTGCAAGGCCTCTTCGGGTGTACTGTTTTCTCTTCCCTCCGCGTGGCTCTTTTCACCCCCTGGCCATGGATCAAGCGGAGAGATTTCTAGAGGCACTACCCTTGAGGAGAGCCAGCTACTCCTGTAGATTAGCCACATTCCAAGCTGCCAAGCACAGGCAGTAATCCAGGGAGTACATGAAGGGAAACCCTCAATTCCTGCTTCCTCTGCTCCAGAACTCTTTTCCAGCCTTGGAGATAGGAGGCAATCAGGCTTCTCTGGGCCAGAGTGAGCAGCAAAGTACCATCTACATGGGCTGGCTCTGCCCTCCCCGAGCCCTGGCTTCATCACTCTAATTTTGGAAGTAATACATACTTACTGTTCTATGAATCTCCAAGGTCAAGGTCTCTCCAGAAATCAAGGCATTTAAATTTTCACCTCTCCCCTCTGGTCCCCAGGCTGTCATCTGGCCCATAGAGGAACAAAGTTGGGTATTACTCTCTTACACCAATCCTGAGTGATACTACCTACGTAGGGCCTTATTTGCTACTCAAATGGACTAGGGTTGGGGAGGAGGATAGCAGAGGCCGGCGATCAGGTTTCCCCAGCAATACACACACATTCAGGTTATAAACAGTATTACTATTGCAACTAACAACTTTGTACAGAAACATGCACACACTGCAGATTATTCCTTTTCTTTATTATTGTTTTTGTTGAGAGAGAGAGAGAGAGAGAATGAGCCAGAGAGAGGGGCAGAGAGAGAGAGAGAGAGAGAGAGTGAATCCCAAGCCCACTCCATGCTCAGTGCAGAACTCGACATGTGGCTCCATCCCCTGACCCTAGGATCATGACCAGAGCCAAAATCAAGAATCAAATGCTCAACTAACTGAGCCACCCAGGTGCCCCATTTTATTTCTTTAGGAAAAATTCCTAGAACATTGGTTAAAATTATTTTTTTTAAGTTTATGTATTTATTTTGAGAGAGACAGAGACAGTGCAAGTGGGGAAGGGGCAGAGAGAAAGAAGGAGACAGAGAATCCCAAGCAGGCTTCACATTCGCAGTGGGGCTTGAACCCACAAAACTGTTGAGATCGTGACCTGAGCTGAAACCAAGAGTCAGACGCTTAACTGATTGAGCCACCCAGGCACCCCAAACTTATTTTTAATTGGCCACATTTCAATTGGAAACAAACTCCTGCCAGAACAGTTTTACTGGTTTATTCTGACACCAAGCCTGAGAACGCTCCTGTCCCACACAGCGTCACCAACATGGGGTATTATCATTCCTTACCTCTCTGCATCTGAGTGATAAGATCTCATTTTACTGTGTATTTCTTAGTAGGTGTGATCACTTTCTCCTATTTTTATTAACCATTTATATCTCTTTATCTGATTTTCACTAATGTGTCCAACATGTGGTTTTGGTTTTGGTTTAACAGGGGGATGGGCGATCTTCTGACATAAAACGTTTGTTTGAGACGTATGCATGCCATGCCCATGGTACATTCTCAGAAGCACACACCGAAGGAGATATGGTGACAAGTAGGTTTCCCTCTCTCTGACTCTGAGTGCCAGGGTCTCGTTCTCCATTTATATCATCGGTGTACCCTAAGACTGGGATTACAGCTCGGATTCACAAAGACTGAGGCTGAAGCCAAATGCTGGTCCCCCTGTTCATGGTTAAGGGTCACTGGAGTACTCCTATCCCCACTCCAGACACCAATTCCTCTGTAGTATTCCTGGGAAGCTACGTTGCGAATCAGAACGTTCTTGGTAAACAGGGTATGCAAGAACGGAAACAGAGTCTTAAGGGAGATCTTGTCTAGTGTAGGAATGTTTGCCCCACACGTTCGACGTTCCTTTGTCTGAGCAATGCCAGGGGGTGCCAGACTCTTGCTGACTCTTCTTCCACTTGATTCCACTCTGACTAGACCCCTCTGTAAATACATCCCTTTTCAGACCCTTAAATCAGAACTTGATTAACTTTCCAGGTTTTGCTTGAGGTTACTTTTTTTTTTTTTTGTACAGAAATGTGATTTCATTTCCATTTTCTCAGTGTAATTCTCAAAGTTCAGCCTTAATTCTCCTTCTTCCAAGCTCCCGGGAAACACATCACTACAGGAAGCTCTGTGTGGACTACAACAACGTATCTAATTGCTAAAGAACCAATGTATCATCATCTTATTTAAAAACCTTTTCAGGGGCGCCTGGGTGGCTCAGTTGGTTAAGCGTCCTACTCTTGGTTTCAGTTCAGGTCATGATCTCGTGGTTTCATGAGTTTGGGCCCCATGTTGTGCTCTGTGCTGGCAGCACAGAGCCCGCTTGGGATTCTCTCTCTCCCTGCCCCTCGCCACTTGCGCAGTCTCTGTCTCTCTCAAAATAAATACATAAACTTAAAAAAAAAAACCTTTTCAATTACGAAGCTCATACTTTCTGAGCACTTCTATTATGCTCAGGTGTTGTATGACATAGTATCTCATTTAATCATCCTAATAATGACATGAGGTAGTTATGCTCATTGTTCCTATCTTGCAGGGATGGAAACTGAGGCCTCGAGAGGTTAAATAAGGAATCCAAGATGTTAGAGCTGTTAAGGTGTTGGGAGCAATTTCAACCCACACTGCCCAACTCCAGACTCCTGCCTTAACTGCCGTGCTGATTTTGGAAGAAATGCACACCCACTGGAATAAGAAAAATATAGACGAGCATAAAGAGGAAAAAATTACCCTTGGCTCACCAACCCAAGATGAACACTCAAAATGTGCACGTGTCCTTATCGCTCTCTTCGGTATGTTTTTAATAATGACATTGTCTCACATATAGTTGTGTATCCTGTTTTTATTTTATCTTTTATTTTTATTTTATTTTTGGGAGAGAGAGAGCACGAGTGGGAAAGGGGCAGAGAGAGAGGGAGACACAGAATCTGAAGCAGGCTCCAGGCCCTGCACTATTGGCACAGGACTCGAACTCACAGACGATGAGATCATGACCTGAGCTGAAATTGGACGCTTAACCGCCTGAGCCACCCAGGCGCCCCTGTATCCCTATTTTCAAAAAAATGTTTATTTATTGGGACACCTGGGTGGCTCAGCTGGTTGAGCATTTTGACTTCGGCTCAGGTCATAATCTCATGGTTCGTGAGTTTAAGCCCCACATTGGTCTTGCTGCCATCAGCTCAGAGTCTGCTTCAGATCCTCTGTCCCCCTCTCTCTGCCCCTACCCTGCTTGTGCTCTACCAAAAAAAAAAATTTTTTTATGTTTATTTATTTAATGGGGGGTGGGAGGCTCACGAGCGAGGGAGGGGCAGAGAGAGAAAGGGAGAGAGAGAATCCCAAGCAGGCTCTGCGCTGTCAGTGCAGAGCCAAACACGGGGCTCAGTCCACGAACCGTGACATCATGACCTGAGCTGAAATCAAGAGTCCGACACTTAAGCCACTGAGCCACAGAGCTGCCCCGCAAGCTTTCAAGCTCCCTTCTTGATCTACTTGCATAGTTCTGGTAGTTAGAAGGTCTAGGGAAGATTTTGTTTCCTCTCCCATTTCAGAGGTAGCCCTCTCTCTCTGGTTATTCATTGAGTTAATACCACAATTTCACTTCTGGTCATTGGAAACTGTGCTTATATCTTTGTAATGAGACCAAAGTTCAAAGGAAAGGGCCAGGAGAGCCTCTTACTCTTGGTGAAAGGGCCAGAAATCAAAATCAAGAGAATGTGAGCCCCGAATGAGATATCCCTGATATAAGAATAGCGTTAAATAAAAGCCCAAAGGAAGAGGGGGAAAGACGACCGCTCGAGCACTACCGTGACTCTATGATGAATGTGCTTTGAGTCTAGACCTCCGCGTACCAGGCTGTCAGCTGTTCTTGCACATCCCTGCCTTGACTCCGTCTGGCGAGTAGCCGAGTTTGTCCTTCTCATTCTTCCACCTCTGCTTTGGCAACCTTTCTCCTTCCTCCCGGGACCCCCAGGTACCTCTTTTGTAACCCATTCCCAGAAGGCCTAGCTCTTTGCTGTCCACAGATGTCATTTGAGGCGGACGCTCTTAGTTATCTATTCGACATCTGTTCTACTGCTTTCTCTTTCTTTTCCAACGGAGCCATGATTTTGTGAGGGTCAAAGGCCAGGGGAAGGTGGGTCCTTCCACCAGTGCTAGGCGGTTGATCAAAATCAATTACGATAGCTATAGTCTTTTTGCTCTTGAGAATGACTGGTTTAGGATGGGTAGGTACCTGGTACACTGCACATCTGCATGTATTATGTGGATTCCATTGTCACCTCCGCCAACATGCCAAGAATGGCAGAGGAGAAACATGGAGGCATTGGGACCTTGGTGTCACTGACAAACTGGATTAACCAACCTTTACCTGCCCTACTTTTGAACATAGTTTTCTTGGGTTTTCTGTTACTTGCAACTGAAACCACACTAGCTGATATTCCTCCCATTCCCACTACTTATTTTGTCAATTCCAATGACACTGTTCCGGTAACCATGCAACCATTTCTTGAGGAACCCTTTAGCTACACGCACATGCTTGGCACCAGAATAAGAAAGCATACTGAGACTTATCCAGAATTTTCTATTACTTATTATCTCGATTGTTTTTTCACCTTTGAACATCGACACCTTGTAAACCGACAACTTACTTGAAACCACTCTCTAAGGAGAAGCATCCGGAGCTCTTTGAAGCTGAGAAAAGCAAAGTTGTAATATTAACCAAGGTACCCCAAGCAATCAGTGGCAAAGCGTGGGAAGGAGCTCAATTTTAAATTCCAAATCCCTACACCACGGCACCCAGTCGTCCGTCAAGTGTAAACTATGTGGCGATGGGGCCGGACGAATGTGAGGTATTAGGAGGCATTCGTGTCTCACGCACGAAGCAAGCCTATTGCTCTCTTCCCGCTTGAGGTTCGCTGTGGCTGAGCTTGATCTGGTTCAGCTGGGCTGCAGCCACAGGTCACGAGAAAACATCGCATGCGAGACTACTAACCGGCCGAAGCTGATCTGAACTTTGTCCACGCAGAAGACACCCCTTTTCACTCCACCGCCCCGCATACAACGGACTTGATTGCGCAGGCCGAGACTAGGACGTGCACTCCTGGCCACTCCCTCACCTCACCCCGTCCGCACCGACGTTTCGGATCCACAGGGGACACTGCCGCTCGAACCCACATTTCAGGGCCGACAGTCTTTCGGGTTCTGGAGTCTCCCGGTCTTGCTTTCTTTATTCCCTGAAACGTTACGTCGCTCTGGGATCACCTTATCTCTTCACACCCTACCTATTCACTTACCTGCCTGCAGGTAAGCGGGCAGGAGCTCACCCCGGAGACCCAGGAAGCGGATCCGGAAATACTTGCTTCGAGAGATGGATGAAAAACCACATTTCCCAGCACGCTCCGTGAGAGAGCTGTCCTCCCTTAGCGGGCTCGATTGGTCAACACACGAGAAGGACTGCCCCTTCGGAGGCAGCGATGGCCAATCACAGGGCAGAGTTTCGAAAACGCAAGGGGGCGTGCCGTTTCCGGAGGCTTTCCCGGCAGCTCCCACGTAAAGGAGCGTGGGAATCTAGCAGTGCCTCGGGCTCTAGGTCTGGAGAGTCTGTGGGGCGTCGGCCTCTGCTCCTTCTCTCCGGGTACGGGAGATTGCCTAGGATCGTTAGTCTCACAGCGGTAGGTGGCACCTGGCCGGCCCGGGATCGGCCCCTCCGAGGCTGAGCCACGAAGAGCGGTCGGCTCAGGTTTTAAAGGGGTTGGAAAAGCGAGGGAGCCTTGGGAGTGCAGGCAATTGGCCCCTCTGGGGGTTATTCTCTCTCCTCCCAGATCTGTCCCGAAGTCAGTGTGTCGACTTGAGGAAGGCATTCCCCTCCCCCACCCCCACCCCGAGATGGAGTCCACGCTCCCGACAACCGGGGCCCAGGTAAGACTAGGTCCCTTCTCGGGGTCCCCGTTCCTCTCGATATTTTCCAGCCTCTACCTGTCCTTTGGAAGAGGGTTAGGAACGCCCCTTTCTGTGGGAGGGCTCCTCATCCCCCAAAAGCCCTTTGACCAAGCTGTCTTTGTTCCTAGACCAGGCGCTTGGGAGAAATGGCTCCTCAAAATCTTTCTGAACCGCCAACTGGGAGCAGGGCCCATTGGTAAAGGCTATGAGTATCTCAAAATGTCTTTCTGGAATGTTGCTCCAACTGAAGATTTCTAGGGTCACCCCACACCTTTTGAATAAATACAGAAACAAACACAACAAACAAAACCCCAGGTGATTCTTAATCACATCGAGGCTCTATTGGTTTATAACACTGGTAAACTGAACGAAGGAGGACAAGGCCTGGATGTGATTCTAAAGAGAGCTTAGCAGTGAGTGTCATGTGGAAGGAGAGAGACTAGCAAGGAGTAGAAGTCTCTTCTAGAACTTCTCACAGTTCACCGTCTTGGTCCTTATACCACTGCCTCAAAAATTATGTCTATTTTCACTCCTTTGCGATTTACACCACTCTTCCCCGCCGGGCCCGCCCCCCTGGAACCCAGTTATACATCATCAGCACTCAGGAACCTTTGACACCAAGCCCGTTTCTTCCTTGGTCTGATGTTTCTAGCTCTTCCCCACCTACACTGAGTGAGGGGGTGGCCTTGGGGCCTTTTGTCCTGAGATGGGCTCTAATGTTGTTTCAGGGACCGATGCTGTTTGAGGATCTGGCTGTGTTTTTTTCTCAAGAGGAGTGTGTGTGTCTGCACTCTGTCCAGAGGTCCCTCAGCAGAGACACTACACAGGAGTGTTTCGAGGAGATGGCCTTGATGGGTAAGGCAGTTATTTTTCCTGCATTTTGGAACTTTGGTCAGTTCTAGGAGCAGGATTTCCTGTCTCGTTGACATGTTGGTATGGGGCAGTGGGACCTATCTGGGTGATCTATGTGGATATGATAAGAACTTGCATGACAGAACTTTGCGGTTTTCAAAGGATGAGTTGATCTCTTAAGACAGAAAATCCAATCTAGTACAGTGACTATGGTTTTGCATGAAACCTGGCAGTACCTACTAATCTTCCCAAATATTTGTTATAGTCAGTTTACAGTTTTACTTGCAAAACCTCATGAGTGTAGGTTACTATCATTTGTTAAAGATTCAAAATTAATTTACTCTTAAAGGGGTGCTATGCCTTTTTCACCTAAGGGGAACTGTATGCAGAAATGTTCCCATGCCGGAGTGGTGTTTGTCTCTGACTAGGATTGACTCTTAGAACTATATCGTATCAGAGTTACAGGTATTCTAACATTCTTTCTATTTTTACCATCTGTGTCATTTCTAGATCTGTTTCTGTTAATTGATTGTGCTCCTACTTATGGGTCATAGTTTTCTGCTTCTTTACCTGTCTAATAACTTTTGTTTGGATGCTGGACATTGTCAGTTTCATGTTGTTGGATGTTGGCTTTTGTTGTACTTTTTAAAGTATTTTTGGACTTTGCATTTAAGTTATTTGAGATCAGTGTGATCCTTTCAGGGCTTGCTTTTTGCTTTGTTGGGGTGTATTCAGAGCAGCCTTTAGTCTAGGGCTGATCTGACCTGCTGCTCAGGCAGTCTTTCTGAGGATACTGCCCAATGCCTTGTGTGTTCCACTTTGGCTGGTGGAGAACATGAACTATTGAACTATTGTGTGAACTCTGAAGCTTGTTCTATCCCTTTTTGATGATTCTTTTTCCAGTCTGGGGTAGTTTTCTCACATGCACTTAAAGACTAATACTCAGCCAAAGTCTTAAGGGGACCCTATCCAGATGCCCAGAGCTCTGCCTGGGCACCTGTCTCGTCCCCAGTATTTTGCTGTCAAATCCTAGCCATCTTGGCATCCCTGAATTTGGTCTCCTCGAGTCAGTAAAACCATTGGGTATCATTTGAATTCCTACACTGCACTGCAACCCAGAAACCCTTTCTGGGCAGGGCACTGGGACAATCATAGGGCTGTTTCTCCAGAAGGACAGACTCTTTTTGTATTGACATGTTGGCTTTATAAATTAAGAATATTTGGACAGATGTTAAAAAGGAATGCTTTTTGGCAGGCCCAGGGTTTGTTAGCGATCCTAGGAGCGAGACTGGTTCTTATTTGGCTGCTGCATGCATGGCAGCTCTACATTGATCTTTCCTCGGGGAGGTAAAGAAATTTTGAAGAACTCTCCTAGTGACAATAAAACTATTTGTAATAAGCACAGTGTTTCTCTGCTAGGTAGAAAAATCCTTACTTGCTCTCTCTTTTTCTCTCTTCAAAATGAACCCCAGTCTCTCTTCCAGTTGTGGTTGCTCAGCTGTCACTTGAGATCACATAAATGATGAAAAGTTCTGGAGACATAGGAGACTAACTGGAAACCCCCTGTAGGCAGTGTGTACCAAGAGTGCCCTTAGTTCCTATCCCACTGGACCCTGACTTAGTTACAGCTCTTTTCTCCTTCCACCCCTCACAGGCTCACCTACCACCAGATCCTTGGGGAAGCCAGTAGAGCCTGCTGGCCTGGTTTTGTACAGTGTATCAGTGTCTGGGTTCTAGGATAAGCCGTCTTACAGTTTCTCGGTCCTCTGTGTAACTAGCTTCTTTCCCAGTACCACCTGAGGGTGCTGTCTATGTTTTGCTTTCTTTTGTTTTTATCTGCAGGAGGGAAAGGCAAGACTGAGATTACTCAGCAGTTAAATCTAGACTCTATGGGAGTTGAGGAACTGGCCCCAGAAAACTCCTCCATTGCTGTGCCCCTTGTCTATTACCCAGAAAAATCTTCTGAGACTGGAGGTGGAGACCCTGAAAGGAAAGTATCAGGTGGAACTCCTGCTTGCAAGAAAAGGTTCATAAGCCTATTAGTTACCATCGAAAACCATACCCCATTAATAGACCCACCTCAGTGTCTAGAAACTACAGCACTTTCTGAAATTCTTGAATTTTCTGGGGAAGAAGCCAAAAATTTGTATAAGTGTCCTGAATGTGACCAAGGCTTCAGTGATAATTCATACCTTGTCTTGCATCAGAAAACTCATTCAGGAGAGAAGAAGTATAAACGTGGTGACTGTGGCAAGATTTTCAATCACAGAGCTAACCTGAGGACACACAGGAGAAGCCACGCTGGCGAGAAGCCTTATAAGTGTGCTGAGTGTGGCAGCAGCTTCCGCCAGCACTCACATCTGTCTCGGCACATGAATAGCCACGTAAAGGAGACGCCCCACACATGTGGCATCTGTGGGAGAGGTTCTTTGTGGCCCCCAGGGTTGGCACAGCATCAGAAAACCCACGCTGCCAAAAAAGCCTGTGAATGTACCGACTGTTGTAAAGGTTTCGGTCAAAAGACAAATCTTGCTTTGCGTGAGGAAACGCACACATCAGCCACCCAGTACCCGTGCACTCAGTGTGTGAAGTGCTTTGGACAGCCCTCACACTCTGTCCTCCCCGAGCAGGGCCACGAGGATGACTGTGAGGACGACGCCGAACACTGCGGTGACTGCAGAGAAAATTTGCTTTTGTTCTCAAAATTCAAACCCTTAAAATGTCCTGAGTGCGCAGTGACCTTCCTCCGTGTCTCTGAGCTTATTTCCCATCAGAGCATTCACAGAGGGGAAAAGCCCCATAAATGTAAAACATGTACAAAGAGCTTTATTTTGGACTCAGAGCTCGCATGCCACCAGAAGAGCCACACAGGAGAGGAGCCTTTTAAACGTACCACGTGTGGGAAAAAGTTTCAGGTTGAATAGACATCTCGTTATTCATCAGCAAACCCATAAGAAAACCACCATGTAAATATAGCCAGTTTGCATTCCTACTCTGCTTTTCCAGTGTCTGTACTGAAAACCAGGGAGGAGTTGTCCTTTATATGCCAGACACGTGACACACATTCCGTGCCCTGCACCCCAACCTTGCTTTGGGCACTGTGATTTCTACTTTATAACTGAGGAAGCATAATCATTGTCACAGCCAGTGAATAAAGCCAGGATTCAGTAACTCACTCACTGTTCAGATACCATTAGGATGAGCCAGATAATGATACAGAACTTTTTTTAAATTCAGTTTTCATTAAACTGAAAGTTTTGCTGGAGTTGTTTTAATTTTGTTACATGGTTTGTAAGTTAACTTCTGGAAGGAGAAGAATTTTGTTTTATTTTTTGCCAGTTCTGCAGATCTCGTATCTAGGAAAGTAATGCATCTCTGTGTTATGCTTTTTTTGACTATAACTATCTGAATGTAACATTTGTTCTGAGAGCCGATATTTCACTTGCTAGTTTCTGAAGTGGTTTGGAAGCTTGTATTTCTGGTGTGGAAAGTTCCCAAATGGGTGGACAGGTTGGTGTTATGATGCCGATTAGTATCTTTGGAGTTCCCATTCTGAGATCTGATGCCACTGGCCTTTCTGACTCATTTGCAAGGAATTTTGACAGTCTGACTGTAGCCCTTTCTGGTGCCTGGACTTGAGTGAAAGTTACTTGCTTCCCTTTGAAAGGATTTACCTGTAAGTCTCTACCAAAGCACATTACCTGCCTTTCTATGAGTAATAGTAACTGGTGTTTAGTGAACCTGGTATATTATCTAATTTAATCTGCAGGATAAATCTGACAGAGAAAGGGCTATCCTTGTTTCATAAATGAGGAAACTGAAGCCCACAGAGGGTAAAGTCAAAGTCAGTACGTTGCCCAAGACGAAAATAGCAATGTACTGAAGCCGGCATTTAACCTTGGGTCCCTCTGACGGTAAAGGTTGTGCATTCTTCAATTTTGTTGTGTGTTGGCTTTGTGTTGGGGCCGCAAGCCACCAGGGAGGCCGAGCTGGGTGGATGAGAGCGGTCATCATGGAGGCTACCCCGTGCACATGCATCCTAGAACCCCTCCACTGCCCTGTGCTTTATCCCAAGCCTGACTTACATGTATGGTTATAAAGCAAAAGAAAGATTCCCCAAGACTTCCAGTTCAAATTCCCATCCCTGTGACCAGATCAGAGACTGCAGACTCTACAGAGTACAGTCCTTATGGTTTTAGTTGGGTTTTGGTTTAAAAAACAAAATGCCCTCTTCATCTCCAAAGAAAAATACATACAGAAAACGCTTAAGAGTTTCACCAAACTACCTGACACCACGTAAGTCTTTAGATACTGCCGTTACATATAAATATTGGAGCAAGATACTCTTAAATGGGTTGGTCATTCATGTTAAAGAATCAGGGAATCTTGTAAAGATACATTCATACACGATTTCTCTTTAAAGAAAAACTGTGTACCTATCAGCAAAGCTGTTTTTAAATGGACTTTCGATCAGGATGTGAGAATGGTCTTACTCTACTTAAACAGTATAGAAGTATGGCATTGACTAAAATGGGGTTGTCACTGGGAAACCGCATGAGCAATAGTACGCCTCTTTAGGCAAGTAGTACTTGGAAGATGTGGTTTTTCTACAGGACAGCAGGTTGAGAACTGAATATACAAAATGATGGAGGCTGCTGCTCTAAGCTCTTAACACTGTGCAGAGGCAAGAAACTATTCCTGGGGAGTAAGGGAAATGGAGACCCCAACCCAGCTCACTCCTAACTCCCTTTTTGTTGGTCTTGTTTCTTGTTGGCAGCTCCACAGTTGAGACCCTGTGATCTGAATGTCAGGGTCACGTTTTGACTCTCTGTTTTGGATGTCTCCGCTCAATACGAGACACCAGTCTGCTGGGGCTTTCGGATCTTAAATTAAAAAGTGAAGTTATCTGCAGGGTTTTCTTCAGCAAGTCTCTGGGGAGCTTAGAATTGTGTAGAAAGATGGTCTCTAGTTGGATTTCTTATCAGCCAACTTTGGGATGTACTTTGCTAAACACCAGAAAGTAATATCTGCCAGCTCCCCTGCTTCCGCCCTTGGTGGGAGCATTATCACGTATTAGGGGCTCTCCTGTTTCAGCCGAATGAACAGGGTTGCAGGGTGGGGAATGAAACTGGGAAAGAAGCCCCTGCTTGCAGAGTTGCTGCAGAAAGAAGTAGGGAAGCCTATCTTAGAAGGCACTTGTGCAGAAAGGGGCTGACATAGGACATGGAAGCTGTCATCCTTCCCTTTGCTCCTAAGACAGTATGGGGGAGGGTAAGCCTTTATGCTGTGAGTGCTGTTCTGCACCTCACTGGGGGAAGTCACCTTTCCAGATGAGGCTTCCTTCACAATTAAATTCAGGTTTTACATTTTTCTTTATTCTCTAGATTTTGTAAGATTATGTCAAGCCTCCATAATTGATAAGAAAAATAGCATTTTTATAAAGACATTAACATACACAGAAGTGTAATTAAAATGCCTTTGTGGTGTAGTAACCATTGCTAACGACCAGTATGTAGAAAAAAAAAAAAAATGAAAAACCAGTGTGAGTGTCAGTTACTGTGAAAGAGGCATATTTTCAGTTGTTGCCTTATTGTGCATTTGCACGTAAACACACTCGCTGGATGTAATTCAAGCTGCTCTGAGCCCAGAGAGTTGGAAGAAAGGGTGAGTTCACCAATGAAATCCATGCTGTTTTTATGATGATGGCTTTTTTACCCTTCTGTTTACAGTGTCAACTGATGGAGATAGATTTCGCAGTTTGTCATGAAGTCAGAGATATTAGCCAACTATTTTAGTATTGACAAATACTGGATAAAATGATATATGCGGGAGTTTATCGTTAGGAGTGGTTGGTTCACTACCTTTTGCAGCATGGATGTTGACATACTATGCAGGGTGAGAACTGGGTACGAAGAAATTGACTTTTGAACAAATTTGATTTCTGTTGATGGGTAAAAAAAATGTGTATCAAACATGTCTTTAATGTGATTGCCTGAATATCATGGCGCATTAACAGCCATCATTGCTACAGACAGCATTATTCCAGTAGAATTCAGATGTCCAGTTTATATTTTATAACTAAAGAAATGGTGGAATTTAGTTGTTAATCCCAAAGGAGTTGGACTCAAAATAGTTCTGTTTAGGGCTTCATTACAGTAGTTAATAGGCTATTCACATCTCCCCATTTAACACAGAAAGTGACTAACCCAGTATAAAGGGAGTTACAACCAAAAACAAGTTACATTTCACAGTAAATGGTGTTTTGAGTCTTTGACTTCTGAAATTCCATGTAATTACGTGGCATTGTTCTGATGACTGCAGCGTGTTATACGGTCTAATACCCCAGATTTTGCTTAATCTGCCAGTACTGCACATGTGTACAAAGTAGATTATAGTTTATCTAAATAGTCTATTTTGAATTGTTCATTAAACTTGTTGTCTTTATAGGATTTCAGTAGTAAAGTGTTTTTGCTTTGGCCATCTGTTTAAAAAGTAAAAGTAACTAAATGGTCTTATTTGAAGTATGCCTACTCATCTGTTTTCGTTTTGTAGACTGAGAGAACTAATATCAGGATGATCACTACCCATCTTTTCACCGCCCATCTGACTACAGGTTTTTTGTCTTTTAGTTTTCAACATCCCTCCTTGCATTAACACTCTCGGGGGCGGGGGTGGGGGGGTGGGGGGGTGGAGGTAGTATAACATATACGTACATTTGTATAACCCTGAGAAAATGCTGCAATCTCTAGTTCCTCTGAATACCTCAGAAGTATGTTTGTTGTGTGCACTTGTACTGTCTAATGTTTTGATTTTACAGATTTTGGTATATTCTCATCACTCTTAGCTCCAGAATGCACGCTGTCACTAGACTGTGATTGTCTATCTGACACGCGATTTGGCATCTAATAAATGCTATTCTTGATGATGCAATGAAGTGAACTTTTTCTTTTACACTGCAGTGGTTTTACATGGCAGCGAATTTTGAAAACTGGCGGGATTGTGGTTTGGAGTGTGAACGAGTGACTTCGAGCCACGTAATAATGGAGGTAAAAATCGTAAAGAAAAATTCCAGCGCGAACCGTGGGACCGCCCTGGACTTCGATGTCCCCTCCCGCCGCGGCGGTCCGGAGTCCGGCACCTCCGACCGCGCAACCAGGGGAGTGCCCTCGTGCTGCCCGCCCAGCGCCGGGGGTACCAGCCGCCCTCGCGCGGTTCGGCTCCCAGGGCCTCTGCGCGTTCCAGGAGCGCAGGCCGGCGGGAATGCCAGCGAGATGAGACGCGCTAGAGCGGCCCGCCGGGCTGGGAACAGGAAGTCGCGCGCTCACTTCCGGTGCCCTCTTCGGGTGGCGCGGCTGCGCGCTCCCGGGGCGGCCGTGGCGCGAATTGTGGCGGTTATCAGCCGGCTGTCCTGGCGGGGCCCCTGACCCACCCCCGTAACTCCACCGCGGGGTGGTCTTCGCAGAAATTGGGCCGCGGCCCGGGAGAGTTTGCTACGGGTCCCTCAGGTCTTGCCCTCCGCGCCACGGGTGTGACTGTCTGGGACCGAACGATTCTCTGCCCCGCGACTCCAGGCACCGACCGCCCCGAGGGCAGGAGGAGCCCGTGCTACCTCCCCGGCCCGAGCCCTGCTTTGACAGTGCGAAACCGCGGGCACGCCTTGCTCGCGGGCCTTTGGCTTGTAGGAAGGGACGTTTTGTGCTTCTCTCTAGACCCGGCGCCAGTCTCCGTCTGCTTTCTGTGTGCCCCGCAGCCGAATTCTAACGTGCTTCTGTTACTTAGAGTATCCTGGGCTCACCTGACTCCGGGGCCCCCCCCCCCCCCCGCCGCCAAGCGAGCTTCTCCACTCCTATGACTGCGAAGACGTCGCTTTATGTGTAGCCCAGATTTCTTCTCTCCCTGCGCTCCAGATCCCTATATTCACGTGTCTGTGAGACATCTTCCTTTGGATGTCTCCGACACATCAAAGCACATGCCTTACCCTGAACTCAGGCTTTTTAGTCCTTGATCTGTTTGCCTCCAGTATGTGGCGCCGCACACACACAATTGCTCACACTACCAACACACTCCCTTTCTCCACTCGCGCATTCCATCATCAAGTTCTGGGGATTCTACCTCAGAATTGTCTCTCAGACCTGACTGATTCTCTGTGTTTCCACTGGCTCCACCTTTAACTACTGGCTGAGGTCGACGGAAATAGCCCTCTGACCTCTCACATCACTGGGTCTCTGCCAGCACAGCCAACACCTCCGATCATGTCACCATCCAACTTGACATCTAGATCCACTGGCTTCTCATCGTCCTTAGGGTAACATCCAAAATAGTCAATGCAACCTTCCTAACCATTACTGCCCTGCCAACTGCAGCCACTTTCTTTATTCTCTCTCTCTCTCTCTCTCTCTCTCTCTCTCTCTCTCTCTCTCCAACTGCACTTTCAGTTCAAATACACCAAGCTCTACTTCTTAAGAATTCTTAACACACTTTTTCTTTTAGCAGTAACCACCCCCCATCCCTACCTACCATTACCAAATTGAATAGTAATTATATATCGGATGTTTTAATGTCTGTGGGGGCAGGGACCAGACACATGGCAAGTGCTTAAAATTGTGCATAAAGAAGGACATTTCTGTGGCTCTGCTACTTTTACACTGTTGATAACAGCTACAAGACTGACTGGAAGAAAGTGGTGTTGTCAGTTCAAGTAGGCAGGAGGTTTAACAGTGGCCGAGAAAAGCTGTAAGGAATTTAGCAAAAAGCTTACTAAGCTAGTTCTCAGGATAAAATGTTAAAGATGTTCTATTGCCTGGCAAGAATAATTCAGCAAAGATGCACAACTGCTACAAGCCACATTTGAAGGAAGTGAGGTAAATGTGGTTTGAATTTCAAATAGAATTGTGTTCGGCACAAACAGAGAGGGAAACACGAAAGAGCTGGGTCTGTGTCCTACTGCCTTGAACCTTTCGGGACTAAAGCCTTAGTGATTAAAATAGCTCAGATCACAGGCACAGAGGGATCCGGCCGATGACATTTCATTTCCTGTACCGTTCCCATCCTGGAAGAGCCCCTGAGTTGGGGAGGAGTAAGCACCCAAGTTGGCAGGCAGAATGGTCCTACACTTGCAGGCTAGACTGCCCAGGAAATTACCAGAAGGGGAACTGCTGTCACCCTGACAACCCTGGAACAAAAAGGAACTTGGCCAGCAGTTCCACATTCCTCTTAGAAGTTAAGTTTCACTTGACTGAACTGGCTCATGAGCCCATCCCTGGACCAACCACTGTGGCTGGGAGGAGGGAGCACACTGGCCAGGCCTGGTTCTCATGCACTCTCCTGGAGCTGTGGTTGGGGTCAGCCCCACCAGTATCCCATGTCCAAAGTGGGAGAGAAGAGGTGACTCCAAAGGATACCAGGATACTGTAGGAAGAAGAGAGGCTGGGGGCTGGGGTCAAAAATAACAGGCAAGTCAGAGTAGACAGACAGGCAATTGGAGTAGTGATGAAAACGGCCAACACTAACCAAAGACTCGTTCTGTGCCTGGTCCTCCGATGCTAAGCACTTTTCCTAGATTATTTCACCATTGTTATGTACATTTTCCGCATGCAGAAAACAGGGCCGGATTGTAGGGTGTGTTATGAAGTAGGAGGAGACAGGAAAGAATTCTCAGGCTCGTTATGGAAGGTTGGAAGGTGTGCTGTTAAAGCCCAGCTACCTATGATTGGTGCAAAATTCAGAAAAAGATTCTCAATCTCCTCGAAGGGGCAGAGAATAATCATGAAGTCTACCTTAAAGTACACCTAAACGTGTGTAACGGTTAAGGGAGATGTTTGAGGTATCTAAGGAATCACTGCCATCAAATGACAGCAGGAGAAAGCTGGGAGAACCTGACCTTCCTCTCTCAGGTAGAGCCTTCCCCAGTCACTTCCCATCACGTGATTCCTGCTCAGTTTTTTTGGTTTTTTTTTTTTTTTTTTTCTAAGTAGTTATAGTTGCAGTTTTACATTTGTTGGTGCAATTACTTGATTCATGTCCGTTTCCACCAATACACTGGGCTTTCTAAGACCGCAGATGGTCTGGGTTCACAACAGTACTTCCAGCACCTCGTGATGCCTGGCGTGTAGAAGGCATTCAATAAGGATTTGTCACAAGAGTGAAGGAGCCTCCAAGACAGTCCTTTAGTTTGAGGCTAACGGTCGGTCCCACGCAAGCACGCGCGTTATGCCTCCCGTCGTGCGCTGGAGGCGGAGCCGTATGGAACTACATTTCCCAGAGGGCTCCGCGGCGGCCAGCCCCGGGAACGAACGACGTACGTCCTGTCGGGGTGCCCCCCCCCCCATTCTCGCCCACTTATGCCGAGGTTGCCCGTGGCAGCTGGGTCCGGCTGGGAAGTGTCGACCGGGGTCGCTCGGCGAAAGGAGACTGCCCGGGCGTCCTAGGGGGCGCTGGGGAAACACCCCTTACGCCAGGCAAATCCCTGGCCCCGCAGAGAAGACACCGCTCCCGGCTCCCCGCTCCGTCTTCTGCGCCACCGCGGGTGAAGGGCCCCCGGTGCCGTGGTGAGGACGGAGGGACGGGGCGGGGCTCGGCGTGACCTGCTTTGTGGGTGCAGATTAGGGCAGGGGGGTGCAGTGGTGTGAGAGAGCAGGGCCTGGAGTAGGCAGGGGTCCTGGAAACGAGGAAGAGGGGGTGGTCTCCAGACAGATTCAGGAGGCAAAAGCAACGATTTCGTGGGGTGAGAGCACAGAGGCAGAGAGGACTTGGACGTTTCTGGGTTGGGAGACTGGGTGGCCGGCAGCTTTGTGGAGAGAAGATGTCTTGCCTCCTCTCGAATCTACGGTTTTTCTAAACTTTCTAGGGAGATAGGTTAATCACAAGTGTGACAGTGCAGCTGTGGTAAACGCTTCAGAGAAGAGGTGTGTCAAGCGACGAGCGGGATTTCGCCAGGCCAGGAAGCTGAGGGAGGACACTGCTGAGAGCCCAACAGTGACTTGGGAGTTTAGTGGTTGGAAACCTCTGGAAAGGGCATAGGGCGGTGCGCTGCTGTCTCTAATGGAGAACCTCAGGCAGGCCTCTGATATGTCAGCTGACTCCCTGCATAGCAAGCTTTTCCTGCTCCAGAGAAACACAGCCAGAAACTGGAGAACCCGGATGCCTGACCACACCCTGCAGAGAGATAAGGTGTGACGTTTCCAGGTCCAGTCCCACCTGGTATGAGACTGTCCCTGGAGCCATGAGATGGCTGCAGACTTGAGTGCCCTGGACCTCCCCATCCCCTAGAACTAGAAAGCCTCCTGATAAAAGATGCCACGTGGGGGTGGGAATCTCACCTGCAGACCCATGATCTTGGTCCCCAAACACTGTTGTCACTGTTGGTCGTGAAACTCTGCCACGAGGAGGTGGCTGGGCCAGGGAGGCTCTTGGTCATCGTTGGGGATTGTGCCATCAGTGGCTAAGGCCAGAGATGCCTCCCAGGGAGCGGATCCTTAAGCTACTGGAGTGCTCGTAACCGTCCTGTCCAAGAGACCCACGTTAGGTTCAGCATGAGCACCCAGAGGGTGACAAGAGGTGGTAATCCTGATGGAGGATTTGCAGAGAGAGCCTAGGAAGCCAGGATGCTGGGTGGGAAGGGCCAGAAGAAGCCTAGAGAGTCTCTCGTGTGATGGCTGATAAGCTCCTCTCCTTGGTGGGGGCGGGGGGTACCCTGAACAGATGTTACCCCTCTGCTTCCTCTTCCCCCCAGAGGTCCTGTCCAAGGCTTCCAACAAGAATCTGCAACATTGAGTTCTGGGGGGGTCACCTTTACTTTGCCAGAACCACACTTTCCAGGTATAGAAGGACAGCTCGGAGGAGAACTGAAAGCTAGACAGCATTTTGTCTAAGCACCTGATTTTCTCACAGGGAAACTGAGGTGTAGGCCTGTTAGAGCTCAGTAACTGGTAGCTGAACACTGGAAACGGAACCAGGGTCTTCAGGCTCTTGGCTCAGTGCCTTTTCCATGGTCCCGAGCCGTCTCCTGGTCAAGTTGTGCTGCAGCAGCATTGCCAGCTGTGTGATCAGCTAACTCCTCGTGAAAAAGGAACTTGTGTGTCTCTCAGAAAGGTATTTGTGAACACACTAAAAGCCAATGGAACTGTATCTACTTTAAAAGGATGTCGCAACGTGGTGAATGCCCTAAAAACCACTGAGCTGTATATACTTTAAAAGGATGAATTTTATAGTATTTGAATTGTATCGCAATGTAAAAAATAACCTTCGTAGTAAAAAAGTTGAAATGTGTATTTTAAAGCTGTAATATATGTTTAAATGCAGTACAGAAAATAACATATCAGAGACATGAAAATGATTTATGTGACCAGCTTAATTATGTGCAGACCTGATGGCAAAGCTGCTTTTGTCTTTTCTGTGCAAAATAGTAGAGTATCTTGTAAGATGAACTGTTAAAACTCAGCATTTGCAATAATCTGTGTGAGTTAGAATTTGCTCAACACTGTAAATCAAAGTGAAAATCAAATAAGCTGGATGTTAATATAAGAATGCAGTTCCCAACAAGATAAATAAACCATAGAAAGATGGGTGTCCTGGTTTAGGCGCTATTTCTTTCCACAGAACTCACCTGTTGCAAACGGAACAGAGGTCCCACAGTTTCACAGAACAGCGTGGGAGGGTTCTCGCTGGGGCGTGGGGGTAGAGTCTGGCCCTGAGTGGAAAATCCAGATGAAAAGGGGTGCACGTGCACATCGGCCTTGGGAGGGGCACTTCCCACTCAGCACCTCAGCCCACTCAGGGTGAGTAGTCCTCTGGGACAGAACTAGACACCCGTCCCCTCCGCCTGCCTCACGAGGTCCCTTGCTGTAGGAGCAAACTTCTCTGTCATAGAACTTCCTTCTCACCTCCGATTTCTTCCTGAGGGCAGGTATCTCATTCCGCTGTCATTGTGACCTCTGATTCCTCCACATCCTGGATCGGACAGCACTCTTGTGCCCTCTTCTAGAACAGAACCCCTTTCCCAGGGAAGTATCTGCTTGGTGCCGTATATGCCTCGGAAGTGAGCATACAGGGGCGTGCTCTCCAGAGGTGTCTCTATCCTTCACCCTGAAAACACCATCCCTGGTGGGCTCCTTCCCCGCATTAGAAGAGTTCAGATGAACAGATGGTTACCAAGCCTTCGTGTGGGGCACTTGAGAGGCTACAGCATGATCCCTCATCCCTGGTCCCCCTCATCGGCCCATCCCTCTCCAGGGTATTCACGGAAGCAACCAGGACTCCAGGGGCAAAGACCTGCATGGCTCGAAATCCAGCATCTTAGAACCGAAGAGCACTGGAGGCATACAACTTGGGTCCTGTCGTTTAAACCTTACTGAGCCAAAGAAACACATTTCAAAGCGGACCCAGAGCCACGACTGGATGTAGGTGTGTCCAAAGCCAAAGTTTATGCACACTTGGTGCTGTGGTCTGAATGTCTGAGGCCCTCCCAAAGTTTGCATGTTGAAATCTGAACCCCCAAATACAACAGTATTAGGACGTGGGGCCTTTGGGAGGTTCGGAGGTTCTGAGGTTCATGAGGGTGGAGCCTCATGAACAGGATTATTGTCCTAAAAGAATCCCCAGAGAGCTCCCTGGCCCCTTCCACCATGTGAGGACACACTGAGGGGAGGGCCGACTGTGAACCAGGAAGAGGGTGATCACTGGAACACGACCTGCAGGTGAGGGCACCCACATCTCCATCCTCCAGCCTCCAGGACAGGGAGAAGTAATGTCTGTTGTGTGTAAGCCACGGGGTCTGGTACTTGGTTGCAGCATCCTGAACAGACCAAAACACGGCTACACCCAAGGGTCTCCCGTCACGCCTTTCTTAAAGTTTTCCAAAAGGTAAGGCAAATGCTTTAAAACTCCTCCTGCGAGCACTGTCTTTGGCCTGAACATCCACGTGCCCCATGAACCACGCTTCTCTCCAGCGTCCCTTCCTGGGCTCTGCCATTTCCTGAGACCGTGTCACTCTCTGAATCCATCAACTCAGCCCTCCCCTGCCCCCCCACTGGTGAACACACGGCTCCTGTCCTGTCCCAGACAAAGCTGAGTCTCAGTACAGGTGTCCTCCCCAATACACACCACCCCCAGACATGACATCACTCCTCCCAGTGGGACACGAGTAGCCCCAAATTTTCAACATTCGTTTCGGATGTTCGAAAGGTGCTTAAAGCCGCTCCTGTTGGGGACACCCTCCCTCTGCCACCCCAGTCTCTCTCCTTGCCCCTAACCCTGGGCTCCGCCTTCAGAGCAAGCCCTTCCCTAGACCTCGGCCCCATTCCTGCGTGCGGGCACTCCGGGAACACTACTGCGGGTTGCCTCCCGCATGAGGTTCCGTGGCCCAGTGGCAAACTTTTCATCGGATTTCTGAGAATGACGTATTTACAAAAAATAAGGAACACATTATTCACGGTAGCCAAAAGGTGGAAACAACCCCAGTGTCACCTGACGGGTGAGTGGATACACAAAGTGTGGTCTCTCCATACGGTGGAATATCACTCAGCCTTTAAAAGGAAGGACATTCTGAAAGCTGCCGTGACATGGATGAACTCTGAGGACACTGCACTCAGTGAAAGAAGCCGGTCACGAAAGGACAAATACTGTGTGAGTTCACTTACATTAGGTGCCCGGAACAGACAAATTCCCAGAGGCACAAAGCAGGAGGGCGGGTGCGGAGGGAGGGGGAAAGGCGAGTGGGTGTTTAATGGGGACACAGTATCAGGTGTGGGAAGACGAAGTAGTTCTGGGGAGGGGTGGCGGTAAGGGCTGCAGGACGGCGTGAACGCGCTAAATGCCATGGGATTGTACCATCGCAAATGGTAAACCTGTGTAAATTTTCTGTATATTTCACCATAATGAAATAAATTTAAAAGACAAAGAGCAGCATGAAGGGCCACGGTAGAACGGGGTGCCTCAGCTTTTGGGGCCCCTCTCTGTGGGACACACCCATTTTTATTCATAAACAGCCCTTTGGAGAAACTCTTCTTTCAGGACGTGATCTGGGACTGTGGATTAAAAAATGCTAAATTCAGGGGCACCTGGGTGGCTCGGTTGGTTAAGCGTCCGACTTCAGCTCAGGTCATGATCTCACGATTTGTGAGTTCGAGCCCCATGTTGGGCTCTGTGCTGACAGCTCAGAGCCCGGAGCCTGCTTCGGATTCTGTGTCTCTCTCTCTTTCTGCCACCCCCCCCCCCCCCGCCAATATGCTCATGCTCTGTCTCGCTCTCGCTCTCTCAGTAATAAACGTTTAAAAAACTTAAAAATACATAAAAATCTTAACAAATGCTGAGTCCAGGAAATAGGACCTCTCCTCCCTCGAATTGCTACGGCCTCTCTGCCCTTTCTAGGATCTGAGGGGCTGATGGGAGGAGAATTTAAAAAACTACATTTTACTTGACACCTAGTTCGTCTTCCTTTCATAGGACGCTGGCCAGCAGACAAAATGCTTTCACTGACACATGTTCACTTCACCGATCATGTGAGGTTATCAGGGCAGGCCTTCCCATTACCAGTGGAGAAAAGAGGGTGGGATGTTTTATTTTTATTTTTTGAATTTCTAAGTAGGCTACACACCCAGCGAGGAGCCCAACGTGGGGGCTTGAACTCATGACCCTGAGATGAAGACCTGAGCTGAGATCTAGAGTTGACGCTTAACCAGCTGAGCCACCCAGGTGGCCCAGGTCTGGATGTTCTAAATACTTTTTAGTTTTGTTTTTTTGTTTGTTTTTAAGAGAGAGACAGAGAGAGAGAGTGCATGAGCGGGGAAGGGGCAGAGAGGGATACAGCATCCAAAGTAGGTTCTGTGCTGACAGCAGAGAGCCTGACCTGGGGCTCAAACTCACAAACCATGAGATCATGACCTGGGCTGGACCCAGATGCTTAACTGGCTGAGCCACCCAGGCGCCCCTTAAATTGTTTTTTTAAAAATTTTAATGTTTGTTTATTTTTGAGCAAGAGAGAGACAGAGACAGAGTGCAAGCAGGGGAGGGGCAGAGAGAAAGGGAGACACAGAATCCGAAGCAGGCTCCAGGCTCCGAGCTGTCAGCACAGGGCCTGACACGGGGCTCGAACTCATGAACCACGAGATCGTGACCTGAGCTGAAGCTGGACACCTGACGGGGCTGAGCCACCCAGGAGCCCCAGTGTGGATGTTTTAAATGACGTATCCAGGCCACCAAGTGGGAGAATGACAGAGCTGGGTGCAAAGCTGTTCCTCGGTCTCAACCTGGCACTAAGGCCACTCCTCTGGCTTGTTTACTAAGCTGCCTCAGGTCCAACTACGGCCAAATCACTCCCAAGACAAGGAAGGTTCTTCTGGGTTTGCCTAGTGGGCTCTGCCCTTATCTGGCCCCAGAGGAGTTTCTAGAGCCAGGTGACATTTGGAGTGGTTTGTCTCCACTTGTTTCACCAGTAATTCAGGAATTGGGACCATACTGGTCACCAGTATTTCGGCTAGTGACAGCTGCGTTAAAAGATATACTGCAGGGGGGGCGCCTGGGTGGCGCAGTCGGTTAAGCGTCCGACTTCAGCCAGGTCACGATCTCGCGGTCCGTGAGTTCGAGCCCTGCGTCGGGCTCTGGGCTGATGGCTCAGAGCCTGGAGCCTGTTTCCGATTCTGTGTCTCCCTCTCTCTCTGCCCCTCCCCTGTTCATGCTCTGTCTCTCTCTGTCCCAAAAATAAATAAACGTTGAAAAAAAAATTTTTTTTAAAGATATACTGCAGGGGCACCTAGGTGGCTTAGTTAAGTGTCCAACTCTTGATTGCGGCTCAGGTCATGATGTCACAGTTTGTGAGTTCGAGCCCCGCATCAGGCTCTGGGCTGACAGCTCAGAGCCTCCTAGGGACTGTCTCCCTCTCTGTCTCTGCCCCTCCGCCGCTTGCTCTCTCTCTCTCTCAAAATAAGCAAACTTTAAAAAAATATTTGAGGGGCGCCTGGGTGGCGCAGTCGGTTAAGCGTCCGACTTCAGCTCAGGTCACGATCTCGCGGTCCGTGAGTTCGAGCCCCGCGTCGGGCTCTGGGCTGATGGCTCAGAGCCTGGAGCCTGTTTCCGATTCTGTGTCTCCCTCTCTCTCTGCCCCTCCCCCGTTCATGCTCTGTCTCTCTCTGTCCCAAAAATAAATAAATGTTGAAAAAAAATTTTTTAAATAAATAAATAAATATTTGAAAAAAGACACATCGCAATTGTGCAAAAGTATATTACAAAAGAACGGGAGAAGATACTTGCAAGTCATGTACCTGCGAAGGATTTGACTCCAGGACCTATAAAGGACTCTTACAACTCAACGATGAGAACGACAACCCAATTTGAAAAGAGCAGAGGTTGTGAATAGCCGTCTCTCCAACGAAGATACACAAGTGGGCAGTAAACATCTGAGAAGACGCGCAGCATGAGGGAAATGCCAACCCAAACCACAAGTGACATGGCACTTCACGTCCACTACACGGCCACACTCGGAGAGGCGGTGACAGGTGTTGGCAAATATGTGGAGGAGCCGAGACCCTCACCCACCTCAGGTGGGGACGTGAGGTGCTGTGTGAAAAAGTCTGGCAGCTCCTCAGAAACACTTCAGTGTCAAGTCAGCATTCGACCTGGCAATTCCGCTCGTAGGTATATACACACAAGGAACGAAAACACATGCTCACAGAAAGCCTCAGGCGCGCGTTCACAGCGGCACTACTCACAAGAGCCCCAAAGTGGAAACAACCCAAACGTCCCGCACTGGATGGATGGATAAACAAAAGCGGTCCACGCACACGGAGGAATATTACTCGGTCATGAAAAGGATAAAGTTCTGATGCCTGCTAGGACGTGAATGGACCTGGAAGGCACTGTTCACAGGGGACACAGGGATGGGGAGCGACCGCTCAACATGATGGGGTTCCTTCTTAGCTGCTGAAAATATTCTCAATTAGATTGTGGCGATGGTTGCACACCTCCATGAAGATCCCATAATTATTAAACTATATACTTTAAAGGGACGAATGTTATATTGAAGTAGATCTCAAAAGAGCTCTAAAAAAAAAAGCATTTGTCTTTTAGAAACATTGGGGGAAATGTCAACACTGTGTACTGGATGGTATTTGGCAGTTGTTGACTCTGTCGGGAACGGTAATGGTATGAAGGGAAGAGTTTTACAAGTCCTCATCTGCTGTAGATGGAAAATGCTTTTTCGGGGAAATCTGTGAGGTCCAGATCCCCAACCTGTGCACGAATGCTTCCTTCTCTGACTCCCCGGGGGCAACCGGGGAACAGAATACCTCAAGTAGGAGTCACCCCCACCCATGGCTAAGTACAAGCCAAACCCACAGAAAATAGTAAACCGTTCAGGTTGCTCATGGGTGAGGGATGCACACAAGAGGAGAAATATTATCACTTAAATGGGGTCACTAACTGCGAGCCAGCAGGTGGGTGGTCCGTGCGGAGGCCTCCGGTGCATCCACACAAGGGCAGGGGGGTGGGGAGAACCCCACATCTGCAGAACTGAGCACACCTGCAAATGTGGCTGTGCGTCTTCTTCCACCCTTCAGACTCTCCTCACTGGAGTTGAGCCTTACCTGCCGGAGGAAAACTGGGCTGGGAGAGACAAGGGAGCATCACAGGTTTGAAAACCTTCTGGGAAGGAGTGAGATTCAGATTGGCAATTGTGCCACATTTATCCAAGGACCGCACTTGACTTTATGATTCAGCAATTATTTTTTTAAATGTTTACTTATTTTTGAGAGAGACAGGGAGAGCGTGAGCGAGGGACAGAGACAGAGAATCCCAAGCAGGCTCCACGTTGTCAGCACAGAGCCCGACACGGGGCTCGAACCCGTGAACCAGAAGATCACAACCTGAGCCGAAACCAAGAGTCAGACGCTTAACTGACTGAGCCATCCAGGCACTCCTAAGATTCAGCAATCACTGATTGTGTGCAGAAGAGAGAGAGCACATACACAAAGTTCTCCAAAACATACCAAACAAACAAAGCTCTTATTTAAAGAAGTCTTCCTGTTCCAACTCTTAATAAATAAGAAGACTGGAGATCTAGTTCATTCGCTTTCAGGAGAGATCTTTGACTAACCCAGTTGATTCAACACATGGGTATGGTTGGGCCAAATCCGCCCCCCCAACCCCCCAACCGAAGATGCCCACATCCTAATCCCTGGAGCCGTGAATGTTACCTTATAGGGCAAAAGGGATTTTTGCAGATATGATTAAGAATCTTGAGACGGGGAGATTATCTTGGATTATCTGGGTGAGCCCAAATATAAACATTACAGCCGTTTAAAGAGGGAGGCCAGAGGGTAAGAGTCAGAGGACGAGGGGATGTGGTGTCAGAGAATGGAGACATGCACTTTGAAGATGGAGGAGGGGGCCACAAGCCACAGAATACAATGGCCACTAGAAGCTCAGAAAGGCAGGGAAACAGATTCACCCATTCGGACCCCTTAATTTTGGCTCTGTGAACCTGACGTTGGGCTTCTGACCCTTGGAACTCTAAGAGACTGTGTTGTTTTAAGCCACTAAGTTTGTGATCATCTATCTGTTGCAGTGCCGATGGGAAACTGATACAGACATAACTATGATTAAGGGGGTCTTATGACAGCAAAATTGGCCTGGGAAAAGGAGATGGATGAGGTGGGGACAAAGGAGGAATCAAGAGGTCCTGACCGGTGAGAGGCAACAGACAGGGGTGACGTAAGGAGCAGGAGGAGTAATTAGGGCAAACTCCTCTAAAACCTTTTTTTTTTTTTTTTTAAGTTTTTATTTTATTTTTGAGAGAGAGAGAGACAGGGCAAGTGGGGAAGGGACAAAGTGAGGGAGACACAGAATCCGAAGCAGGCTCCAGACTCGAGCTGTCGGCACAGCGCCTGAGGCGGGGCTCAAACTCATGGACAGTGAGATCATGACCTGAGCCGGAGTCAGATGCTTAAGTGACAGAGCCACCCAGGCGCCCCAAACTCCTCTCAAATCTAACGTGGTTGCCGGGAAGGGGACTGTGAATCAGTCTAAAGGTCCGCTAAAAACGACGAGAAAGGCCAATGAGCTTCTATTAAGTCTCTCTCTGGCCAGAAGACAAGAGGCTTTGTCCACTGCATTCAACACATCGTCACCAGGATCTCGGACTCGGGACTTGGCCCTGACAGAACAACACCTATTTCTCTTGGCGGGGCGTGGGCTCAGTCCAAAAGCTAACATGATGGGGAAATATGGTTCCTGTCCCTAAAGAGCCTTTACCGTGAACAGTACAGCTCCCGACCTCGGCACTACTGCCACGCTGGGCCAGGTGACCCCGTGGTGGGGCTGTCCTGTGCACTGCGGCGCGCTCGGCTGCATCCTGGTCTCCACCCACTAGAGGTCAGTAGCTCCGCTCCCTGCCCCCGAGTCATAAGCACCAAAAGCATTTCCAGACACTGCCAAACGTCCTCTGGGGGGCAAATCTGCTCCCAGGCTGAGCAGCAGCGGCATGTGGTGTGAGGCAGGGAGTGACACAATAAAAGTGCCCAGGGAAGGCTTTGCTGGGCAGGCCACTCCTGTGAGGCGGGAGAGGGAGGAAGTGGTGGGGGCTGCAGGTCTTAAGGTCGAAGGGAACGGTGTGCGCAGAGCCCCCTGGGGGTGGAGGATGCAGCACGGTAGACAGCCTGGAGGAGGCCGGCAAGGACCTGCAGATATTCGGGTATCCTCGCTTTAGAAGAAACGCCACACGGCCGCTTCCCGCCGGAGGCACCCATCTACCAGCGGTCTTCTCGGAAGTCCGAGATCCACTCGTTTGCTGTGGGCGACTAAGGACCACACCGACCGGGTTCGGATTCTTACTCCGAAAGAATGTGGGGACGGACCGAGATCAACTCTGGCCTCGTTCCAGGACCTGAACACTTCGTGCAGATATCTTTTGTGTTTTCTTTTTTAGAAACTTCACCGAGAGAGAATTTACACGTCCTAAAATTAACCCATTTCAGTGGTTCTTAGTAAAGGTCCTGAAAGAATCCAGTTTTCTAACATTTCATCACCGGCCTGAGGAAGGAGAGCAGTGAGGGCTCCCCTCACTGTGTGTGCGCACGCGTGTGGAGAACTACTTACTCGGGAATCCCGTCCTCACACAAACACGTTTACGCTCTCGCTTCATGTGTCCTTTATTATGAACGGCCAGCAATGACAGAAAGAGTATTAGGGGATTTATATTCCAATGATCTTTTGCCTTGAAATCACTGATCGTTATTACCGAAGTGCGTGTGCGGTAAAGACTGTCGGGCACGACAGCAAGTACATCAGGTATATACATACGGAATTTCCCCTTGAACGTATTTCGAGAATAAATAAAGCGGCAGGGGGAAGACTGCACACCAAGGTGGGGGGAGGGGCACCTGCGGGATGGGCCGGATTCTCTCAGCGGTCACTCCCTGCTCTCCAACAGAGACCCCAGTTCTCTCTGACCCAACGCCCAGACCTGCCACTTCTTCACCCTGTCACCAACACGGTCACGTCCCCCTCGGCATCTTCTGGAACTCCTCACGGGCCAAATGTGCACCGCATCCCTCAGGGACTTCTTGCTTTCCTTGTAAGTCACACAGACACCCTGGGATTTACATGCAAGTAAGGGAAGGAGAAATTCGGATGCCTTCCTTCTGAACGGAGAGAACCAAGCCCCGCTTTCAGTCCCCGTGGTGGAGTCTGTGGTGCTGGTGGAGGTTTGAGCTCTGGCGAAAGCTTTTCCCACACTGGCCGCACTGGTAGGGCTTCTCCCCGGTGTGGATCCTCTGGTGCAGTTTCAGCGTTGACTGGCGCCCAAAGCAGTTCCCACACTCTCCGCACGTGTAGGGCCTCTCCCCTGTGTGCACCCGCTTGTGTCTTTTCAGCTCCGAATTCCACGTGAAGCTTTTCCCACAGTCATCACATCTGTAAGGCTTCTTTGCCGAGCGGGCCGCCTGGTGACCAAGGCGCTGCAAGCGACTGCTCAGGCTCCTTCTGCCCCCTTTGCTTTTCTTCAGCTCTCTCAGCGGGTGGCTTTTCAGGGGGCTGCTGATGTACTCCAGTTCCCTGCAATGTCTCTGGTAGTGAGCGAATGGCTTCTGAGCATTCGGGGGGCTGACCTGCCTCCGTGACAACCGGGGTTCATTCCTATTCGCCCCTCGCGGTTCGGGACTCTGCAGACCGTTACCTTTGGGTCTGCCAGGGGACAGGGCACATGGCTTCCCTCCTTTAGCCCCCTCTGGCTGCGGATTTTCCTTGTTGTCACTTTTCATTCTGGGGGCCTCTACAATTAGAAAGAACAGGTTTCATTTCCTGGGCTCTGAAGAAAGGACCTCAGCAAAAGAGCTAAGAAACATTCTCGAAGTGTGGTCCTCTCCTGGCAACTTGCATTCGACTCATCTGGGCCACCTGTTACGCAAGCAGGCTGTCCCTGCACCCCCACAGCTGTGGAGTCAGGATCTCTGGGGGGGGTGGGACCTGGAGATCTGCATGGTTAACAGGTTCCTGGGGTGATTCTAATGTGTATTAGAGTTAGGAACCAAGTTCCCCAACCCCATGTCTTCTTCCGACCTTTAGGGAAAGGTTAGGGAAAGAAAAAATATGGAAAAGCAGACCCATCAGCCCCAGCATTAATTAACAAATGGAAATAAGAGAGAGTTGAAATTTCAACACTGCAACACACTCACTCACATGGACACTGAGTGATCGCCACAGTTTCTTTAAATAATGGGAAATGCAGCAAACGTGGCATGTTCGTTCATTACAAACGTGACAGCATTAGGGTTAAAAACCGTAACACAGGCTAGACATGTATCCTGACTTCAGAAACTCCACAGTTTGTGACCATCACGACTGAGGATTGGGATGGAAATCAGCTGGAATGTCTGTGGGCAGGTAGAAGGATCTGGAGTTGTGCTACCCTGTAGGATTCCTGCCAGGTGGGAAGGATACACGTGTATGGGTACCTGTGCACGTGCTATTCAACAGGGTACCCACTAGCCAGCTAGAGCTACTGAGTCCCTGAAATGTGGCTAGTGTGACTGAGAAACCGAATTTTACATTTCATTTCATTTTCATTAATTTAAATCCAGATTTGAATGAGCAGCCTATACAATTATGGTCAACTGCTTTTCAACAAGGTTGTCGACACAATTCAATGGGGAGAGAACACTTCTTTCAATAAAAGCAGCTGGGACAACTGGATATCCACTTGGAAAAGAATGAGGGTGGACCCTTGCCTCATAACACAACAAACAACAACCCCAAATGGATCAAAGGCCTAAATATAAGAGCTAAACCAATGTCCCTTTGAACAAAACATTGCCGTAAATCTCTGTGACTCTGGATTAGACAATGGTATTTTAGATATGTCACCAAGAACACAAGCAAGCTAACAAAAAAATAAATTGGACTTGATCAAAATTAGAAACATTTGTGCTTCAAAGTATACTATTAAGGAAGTGAAAGGACAACCCGAAGTGGGAAAAAATACTTGTAAATTATATATATAAGACTCTAGTATCCAAGATATACAGAGAACTCTTAAAACAAAAAGACTAATGCAAATGAGAGATGGGCAAAGGATCTGAATGGATACTTCTCCAAAGAAGATACATGACTGATCAGTAAGCACATGGAAAAATGCTCAACGTCATTCGCCATCAGGGAAATAAAATCTCCATGAGATACCACTTCACACCTAATGGGACTGCTGTAACCAAAAAGACTGACAAGTGTTGACAAGGACGTGGGGAAATCCGAATCCTCCCAGGGACTGCTGGCGGGAACGTAGAATGGCGCAGCCGTTCTGGAAAACAGTCTGGCATTTCCTCGCAAAGTTAAGCATAGTTACCGTGTGACCCAGCTATGCCACTCCGAGGTATACAGCCAACAGAAATGACAACATGACCACACAAAAACGTGTACGCAAATGTTCACAGCAGCATGATTTTATAATAGCCAAAAAATGGAAATACCCCAAATGACCATCAACTGATGCATAAACACCATGTCTGTATAATGGAAAATCCACCATAAAAGGAACAAAGTAGTGAATGATACGTGTTACAACATGGATGAACCGTGAAAACATTACGCTCAGGGAAAGAAGCCAGTCACAAAACAGCACAACAAATGTGATTCTGAAATATCCAGAACAGGCAAATCCAGAGACAGAAAGTACACAGTGGTTGCCAGGGGCTGGAAGAAGGGGCAATGGAGAGTGACTGCCAATGGGTCTGGGTTTCTTTTTGAGGCTACAAAAATATCCCAGAATTAGAGGGCATGGTTGCACAAGTGCACAAATACACTAAAAACCACTGAACTGTACACTTTGAAGGGGTGAATTTTAGAGCATGTGAATTCTATCTCCATAAATAAAATTTAAATAGCCACCTGTGGCCAGCGGCAACTGCACTGAGCGGTGCAGCTCCGACGGAAGGCACTGCTGATGTTCGGGGTGAAGAACGTGAGAATGTACTGCAGCGATCGAATAAAAGAAGATGGAGCCCGAATGCACACTGAGCTGCCTGTGATGAGGCAGGAGAAGGGAGTGTGCAGGCCCAGGACCACAAAGTCTATAGGTTATGGGTCAGGACCTCAGCCAGGATCACAGTACTTTTCCACTGGATGCCCCAGGCCTTCTCCATTATTATTTATTTTTTATGGTTATTTATTTTGAGAGAGAACGTGAGCAGGGGAGAGACACAGAGACAGGAAGAGAGAGAATCCCAAGCAGGCTCTGCACTGTCAGCATAGAGCCCAGAGCAGGGCTCGATCCCATGAACAGTGAGATCATGACCTGAGTAGAAATCAAGAGTTGACGCTCAACTGACTGAGCACCCCGCCCCCCCCACCCCCGTCGCCCCCGCCCAGCACCTTGGTCTTCTCCATTCTTAAGTTCCAAGAATAACCAAATTCAAGTATTGCACTGAATGTAGCAAATCTTAAAAAATCAACGTGTTCTAGCCTTCTGGTAACTTTTTGCTCTAACTTGCTGACCAGCCTCTGTATTCACATCACTAAGATTGGCCAAAGTGTCACTGTCATTTGGTCTTCGAGTACAGCAGGGCTAACAATTACTGGCATTGTACCAGAGACAGGTGGGGAAATAGACATAAGACATCACAGGGAGAGGAAGAGGCTGAAGATATTATGGAGCGGGACATTTCCTTTAATGAGCCTAACATTCTTTAGGCGCTTTCTAAACATGGGACCATTTTAAGTGATGAAACTCAGCCAAGGTTTGCATGGATGTTCATCAGTGGCCATATGTGGATCTGTCTTCACTGTAAGAAGCTCTGAAAGGAACAGAAAAGTAGGACCTAGATAATCCTATTGTGTACTGCATTGTTAGAGTCATTAAGAGACACTGAAAGAAACGTACTTCTTATGTACAGTATTGCTATCATTCTAATCTGTGAAATTTGTTAGGGAATAAAGCTCTCCTGTTATATAAAACATTAAACAAACTCAACGCAAGGTCTATGGCTTTTCAGAACAACGAGATAATCCGCTGGAGGTAAAGGACTTAGGGAGAGAAGAGGCATCAAGTGTTTACCTGTACCAGCCAATCTGGGGCTTGGTTCCTGGAGGAGTGTGGATTTTTCCCAATGATGAGAGCTCAGCTGGTCCGGAGATCCCGCCCAGGAAGGCTCCTCCAGAGCACTCTCCCGGGGAAACCTCCTAGGAGTTTGCAGTTGAAAGTCTGGTAGTTCCTGTTCTCCAAGCTGAGATCCAGTTTTCTCCAAGAGCACCTTCTGCCCCTGCATACACACGGCCACCTAGGAACAAGCCCCATGCATTAGCGTGCAGCCAGAGGACTCAGTAGAGAGGAGCATGACCTCTCTCACTGCTCTGTGATGACCCCTTTACCCGGGAATTCCTGATAACAGCCTGGAGGTCAACTTGGAAAGACTTCGGAGACTCTCAAAGGAAACAAAGGGAAGGACATGCAGAATGATTAGAGAGGCTGCTTCAAATCAGCCAGTATTTCTTGAGTGGGTGCCCCTAAAGCATGAGTCTTTCTCAAGACCTCAGAGTCAACACAGAGAAGGCACAAATATCAGGGTTAGTCATGACACTGGCCCAGCAGATCGTCATCCTATGTCCATGTGCCTCCCTACTTCTACTGGAAACAGGTCCTACTGGATGGGGAAGCAGGATGGTGAGGACATTAAAAAAAAACACACACAAAACAAAACAAAAAAAAACTAATCAATTGTTCTGCCCCAGGCTTCCCTGGGCAGGAGATCCCAGTAGTAGCAGGGCTCTGAGTGCACTGCTCACCCTGCTCTCTGACTGCCTCCATTCCCCAAAACACATGGTTGTTTGCTTCCTGCCTCGCCTCTGACTGGAGTCTGATTTGGGGGTGGGGGCTGGAAGAAACACTGGCCAACTGAGCTGCAACTTCCTGATCCAAAAGCAAGACACTTCACCAAAACAAAGTCCACCAGGAAATTCCCCCCAAATCAAGTTCCTACCCAACAATATGATCCTTTCTACTAAGAATCCTGATTGTAGGAAACCTTCAGGAGGAATGGGTGTGGGGAGATCGGGCAGCCAAAAAGCAAGAACCTTACTTGATCCTCTACTTCCTCACTGGAGTGCCAGTGCCTGAGTTTTCTGACAACCAGTGATCTCTCTCAGGGGGTGTTCCCAAACAGAAGCCAGAAGCACCCTTCGAAGCCATCGGATCCATTTCTGGACTAACTAGGGAGGGAGCCAAAGACCAGAAACTATCCAGATGAAAACGAAATTCTGGGGACCACGAGGGAGGGCCCTCCTTACCCACTGCTTTGGTCTCTTGGCTGCTCTTTGAAAATCTTCCACCAGGGTCACAATCTCCCTGCAGCTCATTGGACATCGATGCCTGACGCGAGCCTGAATCTCCGAGGGCAGGATGTTCAGGAACTGCTCCAGCACCAGCAGCTCCAATATCTGCTCTTTGGTGTGCAGCTCGGGCTGCAGCCACTGACGGCAGAGCTGCTGCAGCCGGGCGAGTGCCTCTTGGGGTCCAGACACCTCTTGATAACAAAACCGTCGGAAGCTCTGGCGGGAGAGCTCGGGATCGGGGCGGTCCTTTTGCAGAGCGGGTCCCCGTCTCTCTTCCAGCTTTGTTATTATGTGTCTCTCTGGCTTGGAGGAGGCCTGAATGTGGGACTGCGAGCTCAAAGTTATCTCCATCTTAGCCGCCATCTTGGGGCTCAGGAGACAGCCTCTCTCTCCTGGCAAGCGGCTCAAGCCTTCAAGATCATGACTCTGGACAAGTGTCTCTAAGCGCTGGAAAGATGTCAGCGAGGGCGGGGCACATACAGGCCCCAAGCTCCCGAAGACAACGCAGGCCCCGACGGAGAGGAGCTGTCTGTCCCTCTGGCAGTTTCCTGAGCTGTCTCCAAATGGAGAAAAGTCATAACGTTCTAAAAGGAACTGGGGAAAATCTTGCTTTTTATTTCATCGATAAACGCACGAGGTCTCAGAGGAACTGCGCAAGGTGATCCATCTGGCGGTCGGGAAATCCTAGGAAAAGTTCAAGTTGTCACACAGGTGGCCTGCGCCAGCTCCGCGGCACCCGGGCTGCACCGACCTCGAGCACGTCGCCCGGAGCCGCGGGGCTGCGCGTGCCGGAGTGGAGGGATCGGAACCCCCACGCGCAGCAAGGCAGGCTGAGCACGGCGGCGGCTCGCTCCCGACGCCCGGCAGGCCCACTCGCTCCGGCCTCTGAGGGCGCCCCGGCTGCCCCTGGCGAGGCGGAGCTGCGGGCTCTCCGGCGCGCGGCTCAGCTTCGTGGCTGCGTGCAGGCCGGGGCTGCGCCTGAGGCGGCAGCTTCGCCGACGGCCCCGCAACCCGCGCCCACCGGCCGCGGACTCACCTCTCTGGGGACCCGGGACCCAGAACCTGGGAGCCAGGGACGGGGGCGGGGCCGCTCGTCGCGGACACTTCCACTGGCTGAGGAGGAATGACGCGCGAACTGCGCCGCAGGAGGGCCCGCCCCCTCCCCTGGGGGATTGGCTCCCAGAAGGCGTTCTCTCGTGTCTATTTGCTGCTGAGTCTGTCGGTGCTGGCGAGGGACGACGCCCGGCCTTCGCAGTGCACGCCGGGAGTTGTAGTCCAAAGGCGCTGCTCGCGAGCATGCGTAGCCGGCGGACTAGCGCCGGGGCTCCAAGTGCACACTTCCGGCCCGGCGGCTGAGCGAGTCCGGTGAGTGTTCCCTTTCCTCGCGGCCGCGGTCTCACAGCGGGGTCCGACGCCCGCCTGTGAGCCCCTTTGCCGCTGGGAATCTTTTCAGGACGGTGGGGACAGGCGGGGTCCTCCTTCCGGGCCTTGCCCGTGCGGATGTTTCCCCACACCTCGCACCGGGCGCAGCCGGAGTCCTCAGAGCGTCCCTGCTGAGCGCGAAGTGAATCAGCCCTGCTCCCGTCTTCGTCCTGCTTCCCGCCAAGCGCCAGCGTCTTCGTCAGAGTGAAACACATTTCCGATACCGGCGTTTTACAACAAACTATGGGGGGGGGGGGGGGGTTCACGGGGGGGAGGACCCCGCCCCGTGGCGGGGGTCATGAAGAGCACAGGCTCTGTCTTCCGCATGAAACTAGGATAGCATTTATTACATTATTCCTCATCCAGAGAAGGTGCAGGAAGTAGAAAATCTGTGAGGCATGGGATACTTCTTCGAGTCCGTGACCTTGTGCTGAGGAGCTATGCCATGTGATGCTCCTGTTTTTGTTAAAAAGATCAATAATGCCTTCCATTTCTCTACTTCTAGCATCTTGAGCTGCATTACATGTAAAGTGATTATAAGTGAAGGCAGTTTAACTTCTTTGGAAGAAGAGTAACTTGAGTCTGGTTTTTATTTTCTTTTTAATATTTTTTAATGTTTATTTATTTTGGGGAGAGAGAGAGACAGAGTGCAAGTGGGGGAGGGGCAGAGAGAGAGAGAGACAGAATCTAAAGTAGGCTCCAGGCTCTGAGCTGTCAGCACAGAGCTGGTCGAGGAGCTCAAACTCATGAACCGTGACTCCAGCCAAAGTCCCATGCTCAAGTCTTACACCCACCCAATTCAGCAATTCCTAGGAAATTTGGAACTTCTCCTACCCCACCGGTAGGTAAAATCTCAAGAGAATTTTGACAGGCTCTGTTTATGTCACATGCCTGCTCCCCAAGGTGGGTGGGGTGGGATACTGTAACGAATAGCACCACGAGATCCACTGGGCTAGAGAGGGACTCTTTCACAAAGGAAGAAGAGCCTGCATTCAAAAATAGAAAGGAATACTGGAGAATAAGAGCATACAGCAAACCAGTCATTTCTCATCCACACCGTGTGTGTGCATGTGTGTGTGTGTGGTGGTGGTGGTGGCGGCGGCAGGGGGGAGGGTGAAAGTGATGAAGAAGTTGAACTAGAGGCACCTTAAGAGAAGGTGGCGATTGGGAAGGTGGCTCCTGGCTTCCGGAGGGGAGGGAGGGCAGGGACAAGATCCCGATCTATGGGAAACAAAAGAAAGTAGTTTGGAGAATTCATTAGCAAACACCATCTGGCTGTGATGAAAGCTATTTTGGTATTTCCAGTGCTTTAGATCCTTGGCTTGGATTGTGGAGGAAGCAAAGGAACAGGACATAAAATGCATCACAAGAGGCAGAGGGAAGGAATAGGAGATAAATTTACCCTGTCTTTTCCCTTTTCTGCAGCCTCCCTTCAAAGCCTAGTCTTTCTCAACTGTGCATCTGCACCACTCTGGTATTCTCATGTGTCTCTTCTTGCACTGGTCTCCAGGAGAATGGCTTCCTAGTGATCTGAGAAGAAATGGAATCTGCTCTCTAGAGTAGAAGCGGCTACCAGTGAGCCAGTTTGCTGAAGCCAGTCATGGCTGCAACAATGAGTCCCCAGGCATACCATCCCCAAGTGAGGACTCCACAGAGGGACAGAAGTCAGCCCTTCCCAGCAATGGCTCGGACTCTGAAACTTCCCGCCAACGCTTCAGCCACTAATGCTCCCAGGAGGTAGCTGGCCCCCATGAAGGATTTAGCAAGCTCTGGGAACTCTGCTGTCAGTGGCTAAGGCCTAAGACACACTCAAAAGAGCAAATACTGGAGCTGCTGGTTTTGGAGCAGTTTCTCACCATCTTGCCACAGGAGATCCAGACCTGGGTGAGGGAGCAACATCCAGAAAATGGTGAGGAAGTTGTGGCTGTAGTTGAGGATGTACAGAGTGCGTCTGGGCAACAGGTGAGAACAGGCAACTCAGAACCTGGTGAGTTTAATTATGAAGTAGGGTGAGGAGCATAGCAATCCCATTGCTGGAGACGTGTTGAGAAATGCACACTAGCCCCCCGCCACTCACCACAAACTCTTAGCTATCTTGGGTTGGTCCCATGCCCTTCATCTATGGAGAGGATTTCTCATTTGCAGAAATAATGTACACACTGATACAGTCAGTGGATGTTTAGGGTCCCTAATACAAAAGTTAAAGCTCAGAACAGTTCTCCAAAAGGCCAGGGAAAGGACACTGTCCCTCACTCAGGGGATCAGGAAAATTAGAGTTGGTGAATTAACATCCAGTCTCTCTTGCCGAAAGGTTCCTTGAGTGCAGATGCTATGGTTATGCAGTAAACAAAGTTGTATCAGAGCTGCTGCCGCCGGGATTAAGGCGTCAGTGCGGGATAGCGATGAGTTTCACAGTGTGCGCTTGTCCAGGTAGGACTAGGTGTGAGATCCGGTCAGTGTCACGATCTTGTACATTTTGGGAGAAGGGAGCCGTGAAAGGCACAGCACAACAGGAACGTGGCTTTGGTTGTGGGAGACTTGTGGGAAGAAGGCAACTGAGATCGCAACCAGAGGTCCAGGAGAGGGACAGACTGAAGGAGGCGTGTGGGTCAGAGGAACGCCGTAGCCTGAGCACCTCTGTGCTCAACAGGAAGCAGCTGGCTGTGCGCGGAGACGGCATGGCTGGAACGGGAGGTACCGGTGTCCCGGTGAGGAGGCAGACGTGTCCTTGGGCTGTGGGAGGGGGACCGGCGAGGGGCGTAGCATCTCACAGGACCGAGGATTGAGTGGTGTTGACATAATGTGCGGAGGGCAGAGAGCTTGGTGGGGACGCATCAGGGACAAAGCTGAGGAAGTTCACGAAGGATCCATGGCGTCGGGACAGTAACACCTGGGACGGCACAGAGAAGGGCGAGCAGTAGCACGTGTGTGGAGTCAGAGCTGGGACAGGTGAATGGCAGGAACCCCTACAGGTGAGAAGTCATCCTGCTCCAGTTCCCCTCGCCCTCTCCCTGTGGGGACAGTCTCTGTCTCTTGCGGCCCCTGGTGTTTCAGAGCCAAGCTCTTCACGGGAATGCGGACAGGACAGGAACGTGAGGGATAACACAGCCATGTGAAGCCTGTCTGGGGTGCGAAGGGCACCGCGAGCGGAGGGGAGGGAGAGCGGAAGCTGACGGCACTTGCCAGGACGCAGTGGCCTCTCCGCGCCACGCTCCTCACTCACTCGACAGACAGGACACGTCCTA